TTGCTATGAAGTTAGATATTGCTTCAGGGTTTGTTTATTTTGGGGGTTGTTTTGTTTTCCTCTCATCACTTAATATCCTTTTCCTTCTCCTGCCTGGACAGTAGCCTATTTATATCTATTGCCAAGTTCTGAGAACCATGCGACTGGGTTTTATTCATACCACAAAACCATAATCCTCTTCATTCAGTTATACTGCTAGGTGTCCTTGTTTGCCAGACAGACTTAGTCACAAGAAATAACAGACAAGAATAGGCAGTGGCTCACCAACCTTATCACGCTAGTCTCAGAATAAATTGAATTCAAAAGACCTTGGGAGGTTGTTGGGTCCTCCAGCCTAGACTCAGCTGGGTCCGCTCCACTACATTAAAATACATGTGCTTATTTATTTTTTATTACAGCTTACAGGATAGCTTCATCTTAGCCACTTAATATTTCAGCATATTGGAACATTCATACTATGTCATTATGAAAAGAATTCTAACAGATAACATGGTGACAGCATGACTGTGGCATCGCAGGCCACTGTCAGGAATGTAGCTAGGGTACAGTGTTTAATTTTGGAGAATTTAATAATGTGAATTGCAAGTTAAATATGTGGTGTCAACAATTTCTTCTGACCTCCCCTAGCAGCTATTTTTACTTCACTTGAGTCAGGATAACGACTTGACTACAATATAATATGAGATGGTCTAAATACTGCATTGATTTTTAAAGATACATCAGTAAAAGTGTGGCAATGGGCCTTAAATATAAAAAATAATCAAACAAGGAGCTGCCATCTTGGCTGTACTGTTTATTCAGGACCCAAGACATGTATCCCTGGGATACATTTCCCAATGGAAAAAATAAAATAAAATTATTAAAAAAAAATCAAGCTTCCCCCATTGAAAAATAGTTCCATTAAGTTACTCACATTTTTTAAATGCTTTAGTGCCACTTGCAAGGATTACTCTAAAGGCTTATTAGTCTCACTTTCACACATAAAATGTGCAATTACTTAAGGAGAGCCCCAATGAGCATGCTTCAAAGCATTTGACTTCATGACAGAATGAGATCATTATATGACCTGCCCCTTTCACCTTTCCAAAATTTGATGTGTGTATATTCTTCAGTATTCATAAGGCACCAGAAAGACTAGATCTTTTAAATCTTTATTCATACTTCCTGGTTCTAACCATCGTACCAGTCAGTACAAAGATGGTAGGCAATAGAGTATCCTGCTTTGGAAAGACAGACTTTTATTATTCCATTTGTTTTCAGAATATAATTTACCAAAAGGAAAAAAGCATATGTAGAGCCAGACAGAACATGCATGCCTGTATGCACACTACATTTAACAGCAACAACAAAATTACACTTTCCTAAGGCAGTTAAGCACCTAAGAAACCTAACCAACTAGCCTGGATTAAATACCGTCAGAAGTCTGAGTCTGAGCCAAATCTAAAGCCTATATAAAGTTCTGGACATACTACAGATAAAAACTGCAGAGCAAAAAGATTTATTCTGTTTAACGTTCCACTGTCAGTGTCTTTAAAAAAAGAGACTCCTGATAGAAAAATCACTAAACTCAAGTAACAGTTTTTAATAGTCTCCTCTGAAGGAGAAAAAAAAAATGGAGCAGAGGGAGGAATGTAATGCTAGGAAAGAAAGAAAATAATTACTGAGACATGCCAGGATACAGGTACATCTAAAATACAAGATATTTACGCATGAACAGAAAGATAAAATAGACTTTTCAGAGTCTTTTCTACTCATCAATGCAATCATGAATGAAAGAAAAACATCCCTATATATGTTCCTTTCACGCCACACAACTTACAAATCATGTTTGGAAAAACAATTTGGGGGGAAAAAAGTGAGTATCAGTGTGCTTCAGAAATTATTATCTTCTGCTGTCCCCTAGTGGCACTGTAACTTGTTTCACAAGATTAATCAAAGAATATTTTCAACTGTAAGCTTCATAGGCTACAGAACAGAAGGCATCAATAGAAATTAAAAGCCAGAAGAAATCAGTTTTGTAGACAACTGCTACAAATATCTCTTATTTACTTAGAATTTTTGAAACTAAAACACATAGGAAAACATTGATCTAGTATTTTAAATTACAGACTTTGCTAAGAGATTCTGTGACAAAATTATAGCCAAAAATATTTATGGGCATGGCCATGATATTGTCAGTGGTTTAGAAATTCTGTTACTGAACTAGTTAAGACCTTAAATAAACACTTTTAAATGCAGTTGGAAGAAACAGCTTCCAATCACTCCAATCATAACATACCTTTCAAGTTAAAAAAAAAAAAATCAAGATATGCCAATTCTACTGTAAAATAAAAGCATTACTGGACAACATCCAGGTTTTCTTTATCTTACTTTACCATAAATCAGAAATGCAGGAGTTGCCATTTATGTTCTTCAGTAGGATAAAATGCAAGTGAAATGCTACTTAGGGAACACAGTGGGTTTATCCACTTAAAAATCAATCATTATCTTTCATCTTAGACAAGGCTTTGCAAAACTGTCAAACAGATGTGGGAACACATCCACGATCGCTAGGCAAAGGTTTTTCAGCCCAATCCCCAAAATAATTTTTCTCTTGACTTTCATATTTACTTTTGTATCACAAAATAATTTGATTTCAAAAGTAAACAGTATTTGGCATCCTGCTTTTAATTACAGTTTAACACAGTCTCTTAATTAGGTGAGATATTTAAGTTAGCTTTCATTCCATGCAATTATACACTCTTATAATCCATGAAAATTCATAATTATCTCTAACCTCATTAATGAGGACTACTAAACTGCAGTTCATTTCATTTTTGTCAAGTTTTTAGAAGAATCACGAGCTTCTCATCCTAACTGTAGCTATTGAAACAAGTGAAGTTTCCTACTCAACATTTAGAGTTCACCGAGAAGTGCACTATCAATTACCCACATCTAAAACTGCATTAGCGTATTTACTTAGTGCATAGTATTTACTTTAAACTATTAAACATCTCCCTTGTTTTATTTTCAAAGATTTATTTCATGCTGTTAAGTTCACTGAATGAATCTCTTTCCAGGACTACTTTAAGAACAGAGAGAGCCTGTATGTTTCTCCAAAATGAAAGCTCAGTGTAGGCAGAACCTTCCTTGACCTTTTTATCAGATTAAAAGACA